GGGTTTTTTTCATTTAATTTTATCAAGGCCTCATGATGGTAAGAACCTTGACTGTTTTATTCACCACAGTATCTCCCCTCCACACCTCATGGAAAGCCAAGCATACAGTAGGTGCCTAATAAATAATGGTTGAATTAATAACTTTGCTTTCTTCTTAGCATGATGATTATTAGAAGACTGCAGACTATAGATTCAGAGCTCAGGTTTGTCTAGTGGCAGAGACATTTTCTCAAAGGAGTTTTTGTTTTGTTTTATTTTTCCTCTGGCCAGTGATAGGTCCAAGTTCTTTTCCTGGTTCCCCTGAAAGTTCATAGTCTCCTTCTAGTTCCTGTCCCCAGTCTTGGACGAGAGCTTTTAGTCACTTGGAGAATCTCACACAGAATTTCAGAGTGGACATGTGTCTTAAAGACTATATCTGGTCCTTCTAATTTGATACATGAGCCCAGAGGAACCAAGGGTTTTCCCAAAGTCATAGAGCCTCTGAGAGGCAAGGCTGTGATTGAAATCCACTTTCCTGAACCCAAATCCCCAGTTCATTGGAATGTTTCTTGTGGGTCCCAATTTCTGCTCTTGGCCCGGGGTAAGCTACACTGGTTGTGGATTTCCAATGTCTTAGCAGTAAGCATCTTCTCATGCCTTACTTCAGCTTCACTTACTGATTGTTCTCTTGTCTTTTTTCTCTTCCTTCTCCTTCCTCTTTCTCCTGCTCGTCTTCCTCTTTTCCTTCTTTCTCTCCCTTTTCTCCTCCCCCTCCTCCTTTTTCTTGACCAACTGAATGCCTGACTTAATTAATCATCTAGGTCTCAGTCAGATTTTGCAGTTCTGAGATGTGTTTTGCCTTAAGTCATACTGCTTGGATTTGAAATGCCACTTTTATTACTGCTTCCCCTATAGAGAATTCAGACCCCTCCTTAACTGAGTGGTCCACTTCTCCCTTTCCAGAAGTGGGGGATTTCCTGAGGTGGGTCTTGCTGCTCTCAGCATCCACCTTGACCCTTTCCTCTCTTGGTACCTGGTCTTCTCATTTTCCTCCCTCCTCAACTTAACTGCCCAAGTCATTGCCAAGGTGACCCAGAGCAGCTCACCTTATTAGCTGTGTCCTCGGGGCTCCCAGTATCTCCTGTCTGTTCTCCCCACCACTCCCACCCTCTGTATGTCTCTTTTTGAGTCAGGCTTTCAATTTCTTCCTCTGTTCACCTCTGCCCATCTCAGCCTATTCCACCCACTCCATTTTCTGTCTTATGAGGTTGCCCAGGATTTGAGAGCATGGACTTCTTAGTCAGATATCCAGGTTCAAATCGTGTAACAGATCTTGTCACCTGTATGGTCTTGTTGTTGGGAAGTTGCCCTCTCTGGGCCATTCCATTTGTAATCTGTAAAATAGAGATATTATTACTTCCCCTCAGAGTGTTAATGTGAATATTAAATGAGATAATGCATGAGAATTATTTTGAAATATGCTGGCCCATAATAAGTGCACAAGACGTGTTAGCTATCACTTATGCTCACACTTTTTATCTTTCTATCTCTGTTTGCCCCACTTGCTCTTTCCCATCTTCTGCACATTCTCATCTATACTTTCTTATCTCCCATCCTCTAGATGGCAACGATATAGGAGAGAGGTGTCAAAATTATAGCTGTCGGCATAAGGAAAAAGCCTAATTCATTCCAATGGGACATGTAAATTTTGGAGGAAAAGAATCATTGGTTCGAATTCCAATTTTGTTATTTACTTGCTGTTTGACCCTGGCCAAATTATTTTGCCTTTCTGAGCCTTAACTGTTTTGTCTCTTTAATGGAAATAATAATATATACCTTCCTCCAAAAGGCCACTGTGTGATGTGATACACAAACATGTACACACACACAGGCACACACTCCTACAGATACATATGTATAGTAACCAATAGAGTCTATCAATATTTGTTCCTGCCTCCTTTTTTAAATTAACAAAAAGGGAACAACATTTTTGAGATTAGGTGTGATTTAATCTACAGGGAGAAGCACTTGTCCTTCCTTGGGGGAAATTTGAGAGAATTTATAAAAGTATGAGAATTAATTGAGACCCATGTGTCCACTAGGTGCAAAGGTAAACGGTCACGGATGTTATCTGGGAGAATGTTAAACCCTGGCAGCTCATCTGAAGTTTCAAGTCTCTGCAGCCCCCTAGTGGCCATTGATTATAGCAGAAAATTTATAGTTACTATACTAGAGTCAATTTGACTTTGGATAAGAATTAGATACAGAAATAAGAGATGGAGTGGGGAGTGCAACAGCCTGCATTTTAGTACTTTTAGTATTTCAAATAGAAGATTATTCTTCCATCAGTGTGCATGCCAGCGAAATGAAAATGCAAACATATATGCTCACATACTAGGGAAGTATTCATCTCCACACCCTTTCTTTCCTCTTCTCTTTCTCATTCTCCCTCCCTCCCGCCTTCCTCCACCAAGGTAGGAGCATCATTTCTTCTACTTGGGTCAGATCATTCTTTGTCCTTGAACTTGTAAAGTCAGTGTACCCAGTTTAAGTTCCAAGGAGAGGCCAGTTGCTTGTCAAATTCAGTGAGTGGTCAAACATAGAGCTAGAAGCAAGTCATTCTGAGAATCCATATTCTTTTGTTATTAGGTCTTCCAACTGCCAAAGGCAATACCACAATGCTCAGAGGAGCCAAGCCTGGGAAAGCAGAGGTCTGCTTGGCCACCACCTCCTGTGGGGCGGTGGGCAAGTTACTGCAGCCCTTTGCGGCTCATTGAGGGAGATTCAACTCCACTCTGTGCTCTGACTCTGTGACGAAGCTCTTCTGCTACCTGCCAGGCTTTGAGCTCCTCAAGGGAGGATCTTGCCTTATTTTTAGCTCTGTCAGTTTTCACAAGGCCTGACAATCAACTTTTGAGAAGAAGGAAGGGAAGGATTTGTGTGAACCAGAGATTGTAGTTTTGTCTCAGGTTCTAGTGAACCACTTGTTATAAACACAGCCATTGTCTGAGTTCTGTGTTGGCAGCTCATGAGAGATGAAGGGAAAGAGAGACCAGAGTTACAGTCCTTACTTCACAGGTGAGTTAAAAAAGGCCTGCAGTTCTGACCTCTTACTCCCAAGGCTATGAGCAAGAGTGTCTGATCATTATCCCTTCTAGGTAAGTCACCACGAGATCTTCTTGGCCTCTCGCTAGTGGAGGGATATAGCAGAGCAGTGGTGAGAGCACATGAGTAAGGGCTTGGGAGGCACATATGACTGTGTGACCCAAGGAAAATCAATTAAGATCTCTGTGACTCATATTTCTCATCTCTAAAACTGGAATTTCAAATACTTACCTTGCAGAGACTAAAGGATACATGTTCAAGCACCATTCTGAGAAAACACAGGGTGACTGAAAAGGTCTGAAATATATTAGTTGTAGCTGAGGAACTCTGCCAGATCGCGGCCGCTCCACATTCTCACCCTGCCAACTTTTCTTGTGTAGATGGTGGGACCACCAGGTTCCCAGGAACGCTTTCAAATAATGGAAGGGTTAGAGAAGATTCTGTCTCAGGGCCCTAATCCAAGCTGTTCTGGGATTTGGCAATGGCGTGCTGCCCCTCCTCCCTTCCCCTCGCCACCAGTTTTATTCCATAACCCGCTTTTCCAAAGTCGGACCCATTTAATCTCCTAAATGCATAATTAGAAAGGGTGGTTGATTACAAAGGCCCCTTGCAGGCCTCCCATTTATCCAAAACAGGCTCCTGTTCACACAGCGGAGAAATAGGGCAGGGAATCTGGAGGAGGGGAAGGAAGGAGAGAGGGGAGAGGGATGCAGGGCGGGGCGGGCTGTGTGCTTTTCTCAATGAATGCCGAGGCCTCTGCAGATTTGCATAGGAGCCGACCTCGGCGCGCCATTGGTTGGCGGGTGCGAGCGGGGCGGGGCGGGCCTGCGTGAGCCAGGCAGCGGCGCGGAGTTGGCGTTCGAGCCCCGCCCCCGCTGCGGCCGCGGCCCCGCCCCCTCCCAGCGCGCGCTCGCGGCTCCGCCAGCTGCAAGTGGCGGGCACCCAGGCAGATGCGATCGAGCGGCTCTGGGGGCGGCAACGGCGGTAGCAGCTGGCACCTCCCGCCGCCGCTGTCCGGAGGGTCGCGGGGCACCGGGCCGCCTTCTGGCCGCCCTCTGGCCAGCTACCCGAAGTCGCAGGGGCTGCCGATGGATGAGGAGGGGGCCGCGAGATTTCGGCTTCTCCTGCCCAGAATGCTTTCTTTCCGCTTCTGCCTCCGGGGCCGCTTTGGTGTCGGAGAACTCTAAGGAGACGAGACGCGGGAGGAGAGCAAGGACGCTGCAAACTTGCGCGGCAGCGGCCTGAGCATCTGCTTCACAGCGCGGGGGTTCAATTCTGGCCCAGAAGTTCAGCGAGCAGTGCAGTCCGAAGACTCCCCGCTGCGGAAGGTCGCAGGAGGGTGCGCGAGAAAGCAGCCCGTACCCTCGATTCCTCCCCAGACGAGAGAGAGAAGCTCAGAGGAACGGAAAGGAGCGCAGGAGGCGTCCAGGACAGCAGACACCAGCTCGGTGCCGCCGTTCCCAGCTGGAAAGTTGCTGAGGCTTGGAGGCTGCTCGAGAGCGGACAGACCGCAGCTCAGGCCGCGGGGGGCGGGGCAGGACGCTACCCAATTGCCACCTCCCTTCTACCATAGTAGTTGCTCTCTTTCCAGAGCGCAGCGAGCCACAGACGGGGGCGCGGCTCTCGGCGCGGCGCGCGAAAGGCACAGGATCCCAGCTGCTAAGCTCTTCGCGCTTCAGGGTCTCTTGACACGCCTCTGAGCTTCCAGACCCGCTTTATTGAGACTCCTGCTCGCCTCCTTGCAGTTGGTGGAAAGCAAGAGAATCCAGTGCACGCACAATCCCCCAGAGATCAGGTGGAAGGAGCCATTCAGGACCAAGGACTGTTCGGAGCCCCTTCCCATTTGGGGGGAAGCGAAGGCGAGGCTGGATCCCGGAGAGTCAGGAGACTAGTATAAGCAACCCTCCTCTGGCGGGATGGGAGCTATAGGACTCCTATGGCTGCTGCTACCGCTGCTTCCAGCGGCAGCTTCGGGCTCCGGGACCGGGACGGGGACCGGAATCGGCCAGCTCGTGGGCTCACCAGCCGTGGGGCCGGCGCTGCAGCCCCGGGAGCCGCTCAGCTACTCGCGCCTGCAGAGGAAGAGCCTTGCCGTGGACTTCGTGGTGCCCTCGCTCTTCCGCGTCTATGCCCGGGACCTGCTGCTGCCGCCGCCGTCCTCCTCGGAGCCGAGGGCCGGCCGGCTGGAGGCGCGCGGCTCGCTGGCTCTCGACTGCGCCCCACTGCTTAGGCTGCTGGGGCCACTGCCGGGGGTCTCCGGCTCGCCTGCCCCGGCCCCGGCACGGACGCTGTCCAGGGTGCTGAAGGGCGGCTCCGTTCGCAAGCTCAGGCGCGCTAAGCAGCTGGTGCTGGAGCTGGGAGAGGCGGCGATCCTTGAGGGCTGCGCCGGGCCCCCAGAGGAGGCTGCTGCGGGGCTGCTCCAATTCAACCTCAGCGAGCTGTTCAGCTGGTGGATTCGCCACGGCGAAGGGCGGCTGAGGATCCGCCTGATGCCTGAGAAGAAGGCGTCGGAAGTGGGCAGAGAGGGAAGGCTGTCCGCGGCGATCCGTGCTTCCCAGCCCCGCCTTCTCTTCCAGATCTTTGGGACCGGTGAGCAGCTCTCGCATGAGCGTGTCGGGATTTGGTTTTTAGTCACATCAATTTGCAATCACTATCAACTAACCCCCGTTTCCAAAACCTCAGCCTCTGGTTCTTAGCCCTCTTTCCCTCTTTCGCAAACCTTCTCCCCCAGTTAGATCATATTTTCTCCCCGAACGCAGTCAGTCCCCAGGGTCTTCCTTCCTCTCCAGCAACCAAGTTGGGAGAAAAGTTTCCTGGCAGAATTGCAGAATGCCTCCTTCTACCGACTTACACAAGGTCCCAGCCAAAACTGGGTTTCCTTGTTCCAGGGCCCCTGGGACAGTTGAAATGCCCCTATTACTTCGATGTTCCAAGCTTAGTTCTAGATCTCAAAACAATTGCCCTTCTTCCCTCCTCCTATTCCTCTTTTCTGTCAGCACAGATTTGGGGAATTTGGTACACTTTCTCAGGGAATATAGAATTCCTCTTCATATTTTGAATCCTACCCAGCTGTCCCCTCCAAATGCTGGCTTACCTAGGGATTGCCTCTGCTTCATTAATTCATTCTGCCCACCCCTCCACCCCAGTCTGCTATCCATTCTCAGACTCTTGTTCTTCCTCTCAGATGTCGTTGAGAGAACCCCAGAGGAACTAAGGGGCAGGGGACTGGAGGGAGATGTGGAGAGAGGGGGCTAAGTTGCCAAGATTGTCTTGCTTTCGGGGAGTTACTGTGAAGCCAGGGAGGGACAATAGTTGATTTCCCTGCCTTTCTTCCCCTGCCCCCTCCCTTCCCTCCAATTCTTAGCTTGAATGTCTGCAGCAGCAGCTCTGGATGACAGTCTCTGGCAGGCCTGTTTCACTGCAGATCTCTCTGCTGGAGACTCCTGAAATGAGGTTTCTGTTTCATCTCCTTCTCATTTTCTTCCCATATTCACTGAGTTGGGGGTGTGTGTACAGGCACTTACTTCTAACTCTTCCCACAGTATCCTTTGACTGGAAATCCAGGTGGTTTTCAATGGATATTTCTCTTGTAAGACCACTGGGGAAAGACTTGTGAATAAAATATACAATGTAAATGAATGAGACAGCATAGAAAAGAAATCATGCCTTTAAAAGCCTACACTAATTCCATTGAGCAAACCCAGTTTCTTTTCTATCATTCTCATCGCCAGAAATAAATGAAATTCTTATGCTCCACTGGTTACTAATGTCTAGTATTAATTGGATGGAAAGCATTGAAAAAGGCCCATTGTAGAGCTACAAGTATCTCCCATGCTTGTCCCAACACACACACACATTCCCACATACACCCAATACTCTCATGCAGCAGAGATATTCAGAAGCTGAGGTTCCTCAGTCATTGCACAGAACACATACTGGTATGTGGTCCCCAAGGAAAACAGAGTATGGATGCATATTTCAGCATTGGCATTAGTGGCATTGGCCCCTAAAATGACCCCTTTGTGTTCAATGTTTGAATTTATATTAGTCCGTAGTAAGAGGCAGGGTCTGATGAGTTTAATAGTGCCTTCTGTGAGCTGAGATAGGAGACCAATACTGTTGTCTCACCACAGATACTTTTGTAAAGAACAGCAGTGCTTTAAAGTCATTGTGGCTTCTGTGGTTTATACATACAACATTCTCTTTTAGTGCCTACTGTTTTTGTAATGGATATAAAAATGACTTCTCTAAAAATGCAGATTTTCTTTCACTTTCGTGTCTATGAGCATCTCTGGAGCTTTCCCATCATCTCTTGTTAAATGACCATAGGTCCCAGTAGTCTATATCAGCTATTGTCAGATGTTGGTGACAGGCAAAAGGGGTCTTTTCTGCAGCCCTGAACTTGCCTACTGTATACAAGCAGGTTGCGTGAAGTTATCAGTGGATGTCTCTAAAGAGTCCCACGCTTAGTGCATTTGAAGAATATATTCCAGTCAAGACTTAGATAAGGAGTTGAAGCTGCTGAGTGGGGGAGTTTCATGTAGAAAGGAGTGTGCTCCAAGAGCTGCTCTCCCACTGGCAGTAGGGAAGCACTGTGAGCATCCCAAGTCCTCCCTCAGCAGCTCAGTCCACTTGGCAGCTGGACGAAGCCCTTATGCATCATTTGACACATCTAGCAATGCTGGTTTCAGAAAGAGCCAGGATTCTGCCATTAAAAGGCTAGAAATTTTGGCTAAGCATTTTTCAGTAGGATTGGGATCAAATGATTATTGATGGGATCAAATAAGACACTAAGTGTAACTGGATGAGCTCCCCGTGACCTCCAGAGATACAGGCAGTTTGTTGAAAAGCACTTCGGGCCTTGTGGTGATCACACTTGGAACAGGCTGGACTCTCCTGCTCTGAGACATATGCTGCCTTCAGTTAGGCAGCTGGCCATGCAGGACTAGCATCTCACCTTACCACTGCCTCCCCAGCCTCATTCAAATACAGCCTCCACTGCAGACCTCCCCATGGAGGGGGTACACACACCCCGCTATATCATGTTTCATGTTTGGGGCAACATATATCATTGTGGTTCCATTCATTTTCTTGTATGAAAATTCAAGCTTAGGTTCTCTCACTTGGATTGATTTTGCTATTTATCATGTTTGAGGAAATGGGTTTTTTCTTTTTATATAGGCTCTGATTTATAGAAAAGGCATTTAACTCTTCTGTAACATAGGATCTTCAATTATACAAAGGGAAAATAGGCACAACTCAGCTTATTTCTCCCTGCTTCTGCCCAAGTGATTGGTGGTCTTGTCTAGAGGAACACAGGCATGCTGATGGGGCTATATGTGGGGAGGGAAGAGAGGAAGATGGGTGTTCTGCCACCCCTTGTGGTGAGGGGCTTAGGGCAGCCCATTTTTCTCACACTAAAGAGAGCTTCCTAAACCTGAGCAGGACCATGACTAGGGATGTGGTAAAAATGGAAAAGCAGCCAGTCAGGACAAAGCAATACCTTCATATTTCTTGTGGTTTGGGCTGTCTGAGAGGACAAAAGGATGTCTGAGAGGCCTTATAATGCATGACATACTAACGGTTTTTCTTTGTGGGCTGCTTTGAATTTGTAAATGGGATCAGTGTTTCAAAGTCTGAGGCAGTTCCCCAGAGCACCTGTTCATGGAGAAGAGGTAGAGAGACAGTTGCTGGGACTGTATGAATGGTAGTGCACCATCCTGGGACAGCCCAAACCTCAGAAAAGATGTTTGCCTGGAGGCTACCACATTGCCTACAACTCAGCTTTGTATTCTGTTTTGTAGATGTTCTGACACCTTGCTTCTGTCATCCCCCAGGCTGATGATGACCTGTGGGATAGGAGGGCTTGTTTCCCTGTAAACACCTCCCTTCTCACTCCAGGAAAGGGGATATATGACTGGGGACTTTACATGTACTATGGAGAGGCCTGAGCAATTTAGAGAGGATGTATGCAATGCAATATACCTGACCATTGACCTCACATATCTGTCAGTCCCTTCCCATTTCATTTCTGGAGAGGGCAAAGAGAGCAAAGGAAGATAGAGAGGAAATTGGAGCTCTCAGAGGGGATATCAGTTATTGGAGGTGAATTGGGAGAGTTGGAACTAATCCAGAGAAGAGCAGAAAGCTGATTTAAGAGTTGAAGGGACTGATTTATGATGAAAGATGAAAAGAATTAAATATATATGGCTGGGCTAAGAGGTGATGAAGGGAAAGCCATGGTAACAATCTACAAATCTCTGAGGAGGGAGAGTGGCAGTGAAGGAGATGAGTTATTTAGTGTGGCCCATAGAAGTAATAGGATGAGACTTGCAGAAGGAAACTTCAGGTTGAATATCAGGGAAAGCTTATTTTCTGAAATTGATATTCCTCTGACTATGGAATGGAATTCCAAGAGGGCAAAGAGTAAGGTGAGATGTGGGTCAGACAAGCCACAGCATTCATAATTAATCAGTTCTGTATTTTCAAATGCTGAGAAGCCGCAACAGACAGGAGAGCTGGGATAGGGAACAGCAGCAGGAATCAGGATATTTTGGGCTACAACTGTTGAGAGCCTTTGGGTATTGGTGTTTCCAGGGGGAGAAGAAAAGAATTTCATATGTACATTTGAAGTTGGTAGGAAGCACTTACAGAAGAATTGTTAGTGGAAAAAATATTTTGAAATTACTGGGCTTATTCTTCCCTACCCCCAGATTAAACACAGAGTATCTTTATGGGGTGCTGTCTGTACATCCAGTCAGGGGAGGCACACTCACCAGAGCATTATACATCTAAGACACATCTATAGGTGTGTGCGGCATTGAGTCATTGGGCAAGGCAGAAGATACCTGGGTCTTGAGATGATGAGATCAGTTCTAGATTTAGTGGACTCCTACTGGCTATCTGAAAACCCTTTGAAATGCTGAGAATATAAATGGCCATGTGAAAGATGAAGTTCATCTAAATCCAGTTGATCCCTTCACAAATCAAAACCTGGAAAAAGAAGGTCCATAAGGAGTTCGTGTGTGGGGTGTGGGAGGAGAGTGTTATCATTAATAAAAATGAATGCCTTTATAAGGAAGTTTGTCTGCTGAAGGTCGGGAGGGACTGGCCTGCAGGTGGGAGACGAGAGGGAGAGTTGGGTCAGCAGAAGTTGCAGCTCCCTGCCGCTCTTAGGATTACTGCCCGATAACCTCACTTCATGGAAATTTGCCCAGCCTGACTGATAAAGGACATTTTGCTTTCCTTTATAACCATTATTAATGTCCTGTTACAGTTGTGCGGAACTTTACAATTTATAAAGTACTTTCACATTTATTATTTTTACCAATCCTACAGCAGGCAGGGCAAGTATTTACTTTATTTTATAAATGGAGTAACTGGAATCCAGACATTTGATAACATTTTCCAAGGTTATACATGTAGAAAGTGGTAGACCTGACACTTTCATTTATGTGTTGAGAAGCTTTGAGATGCTAGGTGCTGTGCTAGGTACTGACTAGGACCACAGATCTCCTGGCCTTCACATCAAGCCTCTTCCCACTAAGGGAATCATCTCAAGGTGCCCATTATAAACAACCAAGACATGT